CAGAAAATGCGCTCATTTGATTGGTCACCACCCAATTTCACCCCGGTGCGTCTCTTTTCGACCAGGGTATACCCTGCCGTGACCACTTTTCTCCAAAACTGCACCCTGTTATCGAAAATGTACCCAGACTTGTCGGGAAATCAGACCCTTTCATCAATCATTTCCCCCGCAGGAATCTTCCCAACTCCTTTTCCCCTCCAACCATGNNTTTCCCCTCCAACCATGAGATACCAAACGGCGCCTCTTCCCGCCCAATAACAACCATGGCAACGGGGCAGGAATCAGTTTCCGCCCCTGCGAAACAACACCAACGATCAACTCTTCCGCTCTAAATCAACAATGGCCGCCGGGCAATACCCCAGCACAACTCTGTTCCGTTTGGAAACATGCACACACGTACGATACCCCGTGGACGACTGCTTGCTGCAGTGTATATGCGAGATGCACGGGTCACGCTATGAAAGCGAGACTGATCCTGCATGGTTGACATGCATATATGTGCACGTATTTGCCAATGTGTCGCGCTGCGCTGAGCGGGCGGAGGGGAGAGGCAGCACCAGCACACACAGACACGCCCTTGACATCAACCATGGAAGGAGGAGCGAGCAGCAGCGCAGGAGCGGCGACGGCGGGTTTGTCCACCACGGTAGCGCCCGTTACCGCAGGCCAGGTATTCTCCAGCCGCCATGCCGCGAAGGTCGCCGTAGCCGCTGAGCTTGCTGCCACTGGCCGTTCCATGAAGAATGGAAAGGGTGCCGGTAGTCGGCAAATTCACCTGGTTTGCAAGACTTGTACAAGTTGGGTTGTTAAAGGCTGCCTACAGAAGGGGGGTGATTTCAAAATCACCAAGGTAGAGGGCTCGCATGTCGACTGTGCTGGGGGTGGGCGGACGAGCTCCGCAGTGGTACAACCCCTGGTGGACCAGTTGGTTAGGGCCAACCCCAAGATCGCCGGTCCCGCGATCAAGAGGACCCTGAAGACCGTGGGGTTTACCGTCTCCGACCGGCAATCACAACGCGCGAAGAAGCGCATTGCGACCGCGTCTAAGGAGGATGAAGCGGGTGCCATTTCGAGTCTTCCATCCCTTTTCGAAGGGATCTAGCGCGATTGTCCGGGTTCGGTCGCCACCGTCGAGGTAAGAGTTTGATCGGGACCCTTTTGTTCAATGTGCACGTGATGCAGCCGTGCAAGGTTGGGCAAGGACTCCAGGCAACAGCAATACCACATGTACCCTAGCATGTTGTAGATGTGCCGTCGTCACGTTCCGTAGGCTCTGGGCACAACTATTGTAGGCTACCCTCGCTTCTTACTCGCCTCCATCCAAATAAATGATCCATCCCCGCACGCTATGTGTGAGCGACGTGCAGCCCAGTGTGTCGTTGGGGTCCTGACCTTCCTGTGGTTGTTATCCCGGGTGCACGCGTTTTCCCTTTTTAGGTGAGTCCCGACAACCGGTTCGTCAGGAGCTTCTTGATGCTGGGTAAGGCCGCCTACGTCGCCGCGCACAGTGTCCCCAAGGCGAGTGCATCTCTTTCGTGATTCTCGTGCAGACGTTGCTGGCTTTTCATTTTCGCTGAGATTTACCAAGCTATTAGGTAGACTATGTATTCAAGCCCTGGAGAGCGCCATTGGCCATTGAAGCCGTGGAGAGCCAGTAAAAAGTCACAAACAATACGTTTGCCACGTTGATGCGCTTTTAGGTCGAACGGTACGACACAGCATCCTTGAACCCTCTATACATCATTTGCTTTCGAGGAATGAACTCGCGGGGGATAGAAGCAGTGTTGTTCTGAAACCCGCGGCGAGGTTTGCGCAGGCACAAGTGATTTTCATTTTCAGGTAACAATCGATTGCGCGCTGACTTTCCAACCAGACAAAATCGAAATTACGACCAGCCATGTCTCGAGCTCACCAGCAAAGTCGGTTACTATGCATATGTATTGTAGCCCACCTCTGAGGACATTTGAGGCTTATACCAAGTGGTCCGAGCTCACCAGCAAAGTCGGTTACTATGCATATGTATTGTAGTCCACCTCTGAGGACATTTGAGGCTTATACCAAGTGGTCCGAGGAAGGCCATCAGCAATTGCTCCTCAGCTTCAGACTTGAGCCCCGGGTTGAATTTTGCACTTTGGTTGGCGCACCATGTCTCGTAGCGCAATGGGGTCAAGTGTTAATTATGGCGATAGTAGTTCCCACATGTGTTCATGGTACGCCGTGTACTACATGTGTGTTCCCTCTCTAACAACACGGGGCCGAACAATTGCACCACGGAGATCCGGTTGAGGTTTGAAGTGGTGTCAGCAGTAATGGATAATCGGCTACTACCTGCTTTTTGTCTCGAACAGGCAATATCTCTGTGTTCGAGTGTATGTCTTCCTTCGGCACTTTACCCTTGTCAACAAAAATGCTGCTGCTTGTGACCGTGGTACCTCCAACACCACGGCAATGCTGTTACCGACATTGCTGTGGTTGCATGTACCTTAACCAGCGTGTTCCCAGTGTTGTTCAAAACGAGCAGTAGCTTGTTTAACGGTTAACGCCATCCGTGCGAGGAACGGTGGACAAGGACTGCTGTTCCCTTCAAAATTTATTTCAATTGAAAGAACCGACAGAAAAGAAGGCACCCAGAGAAAGAGAAAGTGAGAAAAAACGGGGGGGATTACCGCGTCAACCGACAAGGGTTGGGTAACATTGCGACCTCATCCTACTATCGGTACAATTGGGGTGTGTTTTAGGGCCGGTATTGATCCAGGTGCAAGCCTACAGATTCGTACAACAGCAGCAATACAGAAAGCAGCATATCGGCCACGGAAAAGGCTTTCCTACTACCCTTGGCGGCATCTCGCATTTCACCTGGGGTGCTAGCTCTCACTCTTGCCGTTTTGGTAATTTTCTACCGTCCGTTTGCACGAATCCGAGACTACGTCGTATGATGACATGTTGCTCCAGCTCTCGCCCTTCTCTGGACTTGCTTCGATTACAGCGCATTTCTGGAACTGTACTCGTCGACATTGCTTCGCAGGTTGATGGGCGCCCGCATCCCAAACAGGTGATGGGATTCAGAGAGGGAGAGCCCAAACAACACTCCGGCAGCAACGCAAGTAGTGCCTTACGAGACCTCCCAGCACTTAAAACCGTTTGATCTTGCCCTTACGAAATATCCAATTCTCCGCCCCGCCGTTCTGAACAGATGGTGGCCATGGACGCTGGCCACCTCAAGGGTTCGTGGAAGGGAGTCATGTACGTCCTCTGCATGCATGACAGCAACAACAAGATCATCCACGTCAGCACTGTACTCGCAGACAAGGAGAACGCGACGAACTACAAGTTCCTGCTCCAGCAGACCTGCCGGAACGAGCACATGCATCGACTTCTTTCGTCCGGCGAGGTGACGTTCTTCATCGACGGTCACAAAGGATCACCGGCGGCCCTCAGGGCGGTTGTACCGCAAGCACCATGGCGTGCGTGCGTGAGGCACCTCATCACCAACAAAAACATGAAGGCAATGGGACACGTGAGTAGAATTTGGGGAATAGTGACGTTTGTTGTTGGGGTTTTCCAAATGAAATGATCAAGAGTTTCGCTGCATGTCGTCGCGCATAGCAACCTTTATTAATATGTGTAGAGTATCGGACAGCCAATAGAACATTTCCCTGCTGGTGGAGTCCAGGTGCACAAGATGAGGCACTGGCCCAACTTGAACCCTTGACCATCACCCCCCCAGAGAGCCGGAAAGTTCTTTGCTACAATATTGCCTCGTCGTTGGAATTTCAGCCCCTTTCTCGCAAACCGCATGTACCGTATATTGGGGGACACGTCGTGTGCTACTTGCGACGACGCTTCACGCGTAGTTTGAGCGGATCACGTGTTAGGGTGTGAGGGATGGTGCAGTCTTATGAACTGCAGCTTTTTTGCATCGCGCGAAGGGACCCAAAACTGTATGTACGACTCTCGGGCCGCCTCCGCGCCCCCCCAAAAAAACGCTCATGACTTGCTGTGCTAGAAAAAGTTCCCGCCCATTTTTTTGCACCCTTGTAGGAGAAGGTAACTCATCTTGCGTGCGTGGGAGTATGGATGTGTGACGGTTGTTGAGCCACAGATGTTGCGTTGTGAGTGATGGACCTCCTGTCAAACAAATATTGCAAGAACGCCTCCCCAGCACTTGTTTTTCTGTGCCCGTTCCATTTTTCTGGCGCCAGCAGACGCACCTCTCGGTGAAGATACATGTTCAGCTCATCAGCCAGGGTCACACACAACTCTTCTTTGCCCCTTTCGTTATTGTTTCTCCTCACCAATTTTCCCTGTTTCGGGCTGCAACGCAGGCCTATTCAGTGGCGGTTTACCGAGCGGCGGTGATGCCTACCAAGGCCCTGTTTGAGGAGGCAATTGAGCCAGTCAAGAAGGACTTCCCGGCCAACTACAACCTCCTCATGAAAAACGACCTTGACAAATGGACACACCATGCTACCCCCAGCAACCTGGTCAACCTGAAGATGTCCACCTCCAACTCTGCGGAGTCCACCATTTCCGCGGTCGGCCACCAGGTTGGTGAACGAAAGGGGTGGATATGTTGAAAAGCCTTTTGCAGGTCCGAATTGACGCACTATACCCTTCAAGAGGAGCGTTTCTCGCTGGATCTCATAGCTGGTGCGTCAGGATGTCCTCTCACTCAGCGTCAAGCGGCAGATGTCGGTTCCCGTGTGGGCGTACACAGGAGCCAGCGTTTTGTGAAGCCCCCGACAGCCGACCACTGTAGTTCCGAGTGTTCTCTGTTGACATTCCAATCGCTTCTTCTCATTTATGCATGCTATCTTGTGTCGTGAATGTTGGTGGTAATCGAAGTGGTTTTTCGTAGGTGCTTTTTCTTCAATGGGTCGATCCAACGTGAAAGAACCCAAGATGAAGCGACTATGTACCATCCCTCACTACTATACATCCGCATAAAAAATACTTGGTGGATGGGTGCATTTCTGTTTCCCATCCGGAGAGTATCGTAGCCCCTCCCTTGTCACCCGTTGGTCAGCGTGTCAGCAGGGTCCATGCTAAACGTGAGGACACATGTACATTCTCACCCAATTTTATTATTGTTAGGAATCCTGCAGTCCCGATTCTTCAACGGCCACTTGTCCGTGTGTTGTGATTTCCTTCTCTACGCACCAGTGTGTGCGGCAAAAGCTTTTTATGGTGTTCCTTTTTAACTCGTCAGCGTCTGAATCGTTGATGTGTCCCTTTTCCGTTGTTGACGTTTGTTGCTCGCAGAAACGGGAAATGGACCCTTATCATTTCCACATCGAGATTGCGGAGAAAACTGCGGAGCAACTCGCAACGAATGCCGAACTACTGAAAGACTGCCATGCCATCCTCGTTCCATTCGCGGCCAAGTTCATGGAGGACGAGAGGTTGCTCAGTCTTAAGTAAGTACCGGGGCAACCACGCCTGGTGCGTTCCTCGTTCTTTCCCCCGTTAATTCTACGGCTGCGTGGTCGGTTGGGTGTAGTACGACCCCGTCGGTTGGGTGATCCACCCGTGCTGTCTCTCTCGTTATGAGTCCATGATTTATTCGTCCGTTTCGGCTGTCGTTTTGTGTGTAGTGCACTCTTGACAACCAGAGAATGACACCTGTCTTTCGTCGACGGCACAAACTCTGTTTCGTCTGCTTTCTTCCCTTCCTTCTTCTGTTCATGGCGTTGGCCCCACTCGTCGGCAGCAAGCACGTCAAGAGCATGGGCTTGGGCACCTACCTTGTTCAGGAGCACGGCAAGAGCCAGTACGGCAACAGGGTGACAATCGTGATGCCGGACACGGAAGGGAAGGGTGGCCGCGTCGAGAGCACCTGCAGAGTCTCTGCCAGGTTCCACCTCCTGTGCCAGGACGCCCTCGCGGTGTTGAAATGTAAGCCTCCTCCATCGGGTTGAAAACATGGATCGCATTTAATTATTGGGTTATTCAATCTTCGGATTGGTGTCCTCTGTTGGCCGTCTGTGATCCGTGTGCATTCTGTATGTTTTATTCTCGCAGCTCACTTGCAATGTGCGACCTCATACAATCTACATTGCAGATCCTCGTTTCTCCTCTCTGGGTTTTCCTCTGGTCATCTGTCCCTCGAAGTTATTCTTTCTTGGCCCTTCTTTCTTTTGCCTATGGCACAAGCTCACCGTTGGCTGTGAACGAGGTTCTCGTAGAATGAAGTGGGATTCCGTTTGCCTGTGCATGCCATTTGTGTCACCAAGCTATTCAGCATCCACCCCCTCTCGATGGATTTCCATGAAGGTAGGCAGAGGTTGATGAGCGTGTTACCACTGCTTGGGAGGAGTGTGAGCTCTTGGAGAAACATCCCCTCGTTGGTATTGTTCTATGATGCTTTGCTAGAAGGACGGGATTCATGCCTTGCCGAAAACACGTCGATACGTCGGATGTTGACTAAGGTGAGCTCCAGGATAAGACCACAAACGAGGATGGACGAAAACAGCCCTGGTTTTCACACAACTTAGCGAACACGTGGTGATCGGGCTCCTCGGTCGGTTGGTGTATTTGCCCATGTCCGTAGCACCGGTCACACATCCGTGTCCG